CAGTTAACCATGCCTTTGAAAGAAGTGCAGTTATCTGTTGTCTCACAAGCAACGCATGCGTTGACGCTTCCGCACTCGCCGCTTAGTTCCAGTTATTCCCTTGCTCTGCAACTGATATGGGGTACTCATTGCACATGTCTGAAGACCTGGTTAAGAGCACAGGTCTTTCCAATCACTCTAGCACAGTTAACCATGCCTTTGAAAGAAGTGCAGTTATCTGTTGTCTCACAAGCAACGCATGCGTTGACGCTTCCGTACTCGCTGCTTAGTTCCCGTTATTCCCTTGCTCTGCAACTGATATGGGGTACTCATTGCACATGTCTGAAGACCTGGTTAAGAGCAGAGGTCTTTCGAATCACCCTAGCACAGTTAACCATGCCTTTGAAAGAAGTGCAGTTATCTGTTGTCTCACAAGCAACGCATGCGTTGAGGCTTCCGTACTCGCCGCTTAGTTCCTGTTATTCCCTTGCTCTGAAACTGATATGGGGTACTCATTGCACATGTATGAAGACCTGGTTAAGAGCACAGGTCTTTCCAATCACCCTAGCACAGTTAACCATGCATTTGAAAGAAGTGCAGTTATCCGTTGTCTCACAAGCAACGCATGCGTTGACGCTTCCGTACTCGCCGCTTAGTTCCCGTTAATCCCTTGCTCTGCAACTGATATGGGGTACTCATAGCATATGTATGAAGACCTGGTTAAGAGCACAGGTCTTTCCAATCACTCTAGCACAGTTAACCATGCCTTTGAAAGAAGTGCAGTTATCTGTTGTCTCACAAGCAACGCATGCGTTGACGCTTCCGCACTCGCCGCTTAGTTCCAGTTATTCCCTTGCTCTGCAACTGATATGGGGTACTCATTGCACATGTATGAAGACCTGGTTAAGAGCACAGGTCTTTCCAATCACCCTAGCACAGTTAACCATGCCTTTGAAAGAAGTGCAGTTATCTGTTGTCTCACAAGCAACGCATGCGTTGACGCTTCCGCACTCGCCGCTTAGTTCCAGTTATTCCCTTGCTCTGCAACTGATATGGGGTACTCATTGCACATGTCTGAAGACCTGGTTAAGAGCACAGGTCTTTCCAATCACTCTAGCACAGTTAACCATGCCTTTGAAAGAAGTGCAGTTATCTGTTGTCTCACAAGCAACGCATGCGTTGACGCTTCCGTACTCGCTGCTTAGTTCCCGTTATTCCCTTGCTCTGCAACTGATATGGGGTACTCATTGCACATGTCTGAAGACCTGGTTAAGATCAGAGGTCTTTCGAATCACCCTAGCACAGTTAACCATGCCTTTGAAAGAAGTGCAGTTATCTATTGTCTCACAAGCAACGCATGCGTTGAGGCTTCCGTACTCGCCGCTTAGTTCCTGTTATTCCCTTGCTCTGAAACTGATATGGGGTACTCATTGCACATGTATGAAGACCTGGTTAAGAGCACAGGTCTTTCAAATCACCCTAGCACAGTTAACCATGCCTTTGAAAGAATTGCAGTTATCTGTTGTCTCACAAGCAACGCATGCGTTGACGCTTCCGCACTCGCCGCTTAGTTCCAGTTATTCCCTTGCTCTGCAACTGATATGGGGTACTCATAGCATATGTATGAAGACCTGGTTAAGAGCACAGGTCTTTCCAATCACTCTAGCACAGTTAACCATGCCTTTGAAAGAAGTGCAGTTATCTGTTGTCTCACAAGCAACGCATGCGTTGACGCTTCCGCACTCGCCGCTTAGTTCCAGTTATTCCCTTGCTCTGCAACTGATATGGGGTACTCATTGCACATGTATGAAGACCTGGTTAAGAGCACAGGTCTTTCCAATCACCCTAGCACAGTTAACCATGCCTTTGAAAGAAGTGCAGTTATCTGTTGTCTCACAAGCAACGCATGCGTTGACGCTTCCGCACTCGCCGCTTAGTTCCAGTTATTCCCTTGCTCTGCAACTGATATGGGGTACTCATTGCACATGTCTGAAGACCTGGTTAAGAGCACAGGTCTTTCCAATCACTCTAGCACAGTTAACCATGCCTTTGAAAGAAGTGCAGTTATCTGTTGTCTCACAAGCAACGCATGCGTTGACGCTTCCGCACATTCGAGCACAGGTCTTTCCAGTCACTCTAGCACAGTTAACCATGCCTTTGAAAGAAGTGCAGTTATCTGTTGTCTCACAAGCAACGCATGCGTTGACGCTTCCGCACTCGCCGCTTAGTTCCAGTTATTCCCTTGCTCTGCAACTGATATGGGGTACTCATAGCATATGTATGAAGACCTGGTTAAGAGCACAGGTCTTTCCAATCACTCTAGCACAGTTAACCATGCCTTTGAAAGAAGTGCAGTTATCTGTTGTCTCACAAGCAACGCATGCGTTGACGCTTCCGCACATTCGAGCACAGGTCTTTCGAGTCACTCTAGCACAGTTAACCATGCCTTTGAAAGAAGTGCAGTTATCTGTTGTCTCACAAGCAACGCATGCGTTGACGCTTCCGCACTCGCCGCTTAGTTCCAGTTATTCCCTTGCTCTGCAGCTGATATGGGGTACTCATAGCATATGTATGAAGACCTGGTTAAGAGCACAGGTCTTTCCAATCACTCTAGCACAGTTAACCATGCCTTTGAAAGAAGTGCAGTTATCTGTTGTTCACAAGCAACGCATGCGTTGACGCTTCCGCACTCGCCGCTTAGTTCCAGTTATTCCCGTGCTCTGCAACTGATATGGGGTACTCATAGCATATGTATGAAGACCTGGTTAAGAGCACAGGTCTTTCCAATCACTCTAGCACAGTTAACCATGCCTTTGAAAGAAGTGCAGTTATCTGTTGTCTCACAAGCAACGCATGCGTTGACGCTTCCGCACTCGCCGCTTAGTTCCAGTTATTCCCTTGATCTGCAACTGATATGGGGTACTCATTGCCTTGATACCGTACTCAGATTGCTCCAATATCAATACGAGAAGCTCATAGCATCAACTCGTAGCAGTTGTTGGTTAAAATTTGAGGCCATTCCCAGCAATCTAGAATATTAAGGCCTGCCATTGCAATGTGTCGTAGGGATGATCCTATAACGTTATTTTGACATACAAGCTGTTCTTAATGCCTCAGGTGCTCAATGATCCATGTCCTTGTATATTGAGGTTGATGGTGTTTATAAGGATTCAGTGATCAACGCTACATGTAGTGTACTTACTGGGCGGGGTACACTATGTATGCCCACCATACTTGCAGCGTCCACATTCACTAGCACTCGCGGGAAACCGAGAGGCGCTTTTACTTTGGTGCGCTGCGCATTCCGTGTCTCTTAGATCGGTAACTGAAGACATGTATGGACCGTCAGATGCAATGCCTAGCGCGTCTCCTTACAACTCACGCACGACGTTGGGTTGTCAGTTGCGCTGCAAATTTCATTACCAGTTTCCCGACCGACTTAGTCACACTCACAACGCTTCTTCAAACCCTAGCCCTTACGTGATCGTTCTGTGCACAACTTCTCACGGTTGTTGGCTGGTGTTCGAAGAAGCGTCAAGCACGTGTCAGAATCCCAGCCATTAGACCACTGGGATAAAAGGGCTTGTTTCAGTAGCGGGTCAGTGCGCCCATAACCCCCCAGGCAAACGCGCCTGTAACCCTCTCCAGGATCAATCGGGCATCCACAGTGCAGATCTACTGACACCCCCCCACACTGGGAGGCCCAGGACTAAGCACAGCGGCAACGGCCTACATGTGCATACACCGGGAATCGAACCCGAGACCGCTCTGATACCATGTCAGAATCCCAGCCATTAGACCACTGGGATAAAAGGGCTTGTTTCAGTAGCGGGTCAGTGCGCCCATAACCCCCCAGGCGGACGCGCCTGTAACCCTCTCCAGGATCAATCGGGCATCCACAGTGCAGATCTACTGACAGCACGGTGACGTCTGTTCAATGCCTGAGAAGTTATACGCAGATTAGGCCTCATTGCCGATGCGTATACACAGAGTCCACTAAGAGCTGGCTGGAACGGACTATATATTTCTCAAGGAACTCAGACGATTCATACGGTTGCTGACTGTTTGTTCGAGATGACCGTCATGGTCACTGACGGGGTGACGATACACGCTGCGACAAAGGGCGGTCGCGGTGGGAGTTCAAAGGGCAACCGTGGTGGACGAGGTGGTCGTGGATCGGCTCGAAGAAGCCAATCACCTGTTCCAGAAGGTTAGTCGTAGTTACGACCGTATATACCCATTTTCCGATTTTAAAACGGCTAGACACGCTATGAATAACCGCACTCCCGTTGTCCCCTTCCTTTTGTGCATGTGCAGGCAGCAGAGGTTACCGCTCTCTGAACAATGTCTTGCAGACTGCTCCAGCTCGCAACGTCGAGACACTCACGACCGACACTAGCGGCCACGCGCCTGTATTACCGACATCCAACAATGTCGGACAGGCGGCTCCGCTTGCTCCTTCGACCTCTGGGTATCTGACTCGGAGTAACCAGCTCGCTGCAGCCGCGGCACAGGCTCACTCCGCACTCCTCGCGGAGCAACATGCGACTGCCAATGCTGCGCCTGCGGGTGCTCTTGCTGCTGACGCCATTGAGCAGCACCTCCAGCAGCCGCAAACGCTGCAGCGGCTGCAGCAGCAGCATCAGCAAACGCAGCAGCAGCAGCAGCAGGTGATGCAGCAGCAGTCTACCGCGGCGCCTCCAACACAGGCATCTCTCCTCGCCCCTCAACAGCCGCCCGCCAATGCCGCGCCGGCGGCATCTGCGGGCGCAAGAGCAGCGTTCGCGATGCCAACGCAGCAGCAGCAGCGACAGAATCAGCAGTTGTTGCTGCTGCAGCAACAGCAGGTGATGCAGCAGCAGCAACAGCAGACGCGGCAGCAGCAGCAGCAGCAGCAGCAGCAGGTGATGCAGCAGCAGACTACCGCGGCGGCTCCGACCCAGGCTGCTCTCCTCGCCCCTCGTCAACCGCCCGCCAATGCTGCACCGGCGGCATCTGCGGGCGCAAGAGCAGCGTTCGCAATGCCACATCAGCAGCAGCAGCAGCACCAGCAGCAGCAGCAAACGCCGCAGCAGCAGCAGCAGCAGGTGATGCAGCAGCAGACTACCGCGGCGGCTCCGACCCAGGCTGCTCTCCTCGCCCCTCGTCAACCGCCCGCCAATGCTGCGCCGGCGGCATCTGCGGGCGCAAGAGGAGCGTTCGCAATGCCGCATCAGCAGCAGCAGCAGCAGCAGCAGCAGCAGCAGCAGCAGCAGCAGCAGCAGCAGCAGCAGCAGCAGGTGATGCAGCAGCAGACTACCGCGGCGGCTCCGACCCAGGCTGCTCTCCTCGCCCCTCGTCAACCGCCCGCCAATGCTGCGCCGGCGGCATCTGCGGGCGCAAGAGCAGCGTTCGCAATGCCGCAGCAGCAGCAGCAGCAGCAAACGCCGCAGCAGCAGCAGCAGCAGCAGCAGGTGATGCAGCAGCAGACTACCGCGGCGGCTCCGACCCAGGCTGCTCTCCTCGCCCCTCGTCAACCGCCCGCCAATGCTGCGCCGGCGGCATCTGCGGGCGCAAGAGCAGCGTTTGCAATGCCGCAGCAGCAGCAGCAGCAGCAGCAGCAGCAACAAACGCCGCAGCAGCAGCAGCAGCAGGTGATGCAGCAGCAGACTACCGCGGCGGCTCCGACCCAGGCTGCTCTCCTCGCCCCTCGTCAACCGCCCGCCAATGCTGCGCCGGCGGCATCTGCGGGCGCAAGAGCAGCGTTCGCAATGCCGCATCAGCAGCAGCAGCAGCAGCAGCAGCAGCAGCAGCAGCAGCAGCAGCAGCAGCAGCAGGTGATGCAGCAGCGGACTACCGCGGCGCCTCCAACAATGGCTGCTCTCCTCGCCCCTCGTCAACCGCCCGCCAATGCTGCGCCGGCGGCATCTGCGGGCGCAAGAGCAGCGTTCGCAATGCCGCATCAGCAGCAGCAGCAAACGCAGCAGCAGCAGCAGCAGCAGCAGCAGCAGCAGCAGCAGCAGGTGATGCAGCATCAGACTACCGGGGCGCCTCCAACACTGGCTGCTCTCCTCGCTCCTCGACAGCCGCCCGCCAATGTTGCGTTCGCCTTGCATCAGCAGAAGCAACAGGGGTTTACCACGCCAATTGGCTCACCCACATCTGCCCCATTCGCCTCACTGCTACAAACTCCAGTTGAACCGGCTACTGCAGATGCTACCGTTGCTGGACCGTCGGGCCACTCTAATCTCTTTCTGCACACCAATTCTACCCTCGCCACCCACAATCCCTTACATATGCAGGCTCCACCAGCACTAGCCAACGCCACACACGGCGAGACTATGCCGCCTGCTAATGCTGACATTCATTCCATTCCCGGCACGTCTACCCGCAGCGTTGAAGAGCACGATTATACAAGTTCCGACTCGAACGACGTTTTCGGTTCTCCGGATGATGACTCACCCCAAGCCCCGCTCGATACACAGCACTACTCCATCCAGCCAGAGACTCACATGCCGGCCTCTCCGCAGGTCAATGTGCCCGACCTTGCAGGTGCCCTTCCACCTACTCCCGTCCTTCCATCTATCCCAACAGGTGTTGTGGACCCGGGCACTTTGGATGTGGGTGACAATGCAGGGGATGATGATCTATTGGACATTCTGGCCCCCCGTGTTGCAGGAGTTCCAGTGACCAGAGCAGAGTTCGATGCCATGGCTGCCCATGTCCGAAATCTGCAGCGTGAAAATCTGACGCTGCAGAACCAGGTTGATACTCTACGCCAACTACCATCCTCATCCTCCCCCCCCCCGAGCGAGTCTGAGACTCCACGCTACCTGGCAACTCGCCAATCTGTGGGAGCTGCTGTTGCTAATGCGTACAACAATCAGGTCCCACTGAGCAATGAGATTGTGGCTCCAGAGTTTCAGGAATTCGCTCAAGTGCTCGCGACGGCAATGAGGACAATACCCCCTCAACCCTCTGGTCTAACTGTAAGTATACGTTGCACTTGTTATATACAGAGGTTTTCAACACTGTCCCACCACCCTAAATCCTTTGTCTGGAACCCTAAACCCGCCCTAGCATCACCCCTTTCCCTGCATCAACCCTGTCTCAACTAACCATCCTATGCGCTACCATTAACACCCAATCCGTCCTTCCCATGACTCCCAAACAGCTTGTCATGGACACAGCCTTGGACATCCTCTTTTGGCGAACGCCAAACGGCCGAGTGGACTTTTGGCCGCCGCGGTGCAGTATCCTCGGTGCCATGGAGGTGTCGATGGGGTACACGACCCAGGGGCAGAAGTGGAACCTTCTCCACGTCTACCATTTCGATCTAGACAGGCGGGGCTACGTCCGCGACAGGCTCCAGGAGTTCAGGCACAAGTGCCTGACGGAGGGTCGCTGCTTGGTTATCAATTCCTATGACCTGCGCATATCGCGCCCTGACAGGCGCCGGGAGGTGCACGGAAGCACAGACGTCACCACGTTCATCTCGGTCTTCAAGGCAGGTCAGTACCATCGTTTAATCACCATTTTGTAACATCAGCAACACTCTCTCCTCCATCACCCTCTGCCTTGCAGCTCCCTCTCCCAAGCATCTCCCATTGCCCTTCAAGTGGGCCAGCCGCAGGGGCGAAGGGCACAGTCGTGAGGAGCAGAGGCAGTCGTTAGCACCGGCACTCATCCTACCTCTCTCCCCCCTCCCCGCCACTTCCCCTTCCTTTAACCCATCCTTTCTGCCCACCCCCCCTATCCCCCTTGCGCGCAGAATCAACTGGGCCAGCAGCAGGGGAGAAGGGCACAGTCGTGAGGAGCAGAGGCAGTCGTTAGCACCGCCACTCATCCCACCTCTCTCCCCCCTCCCCGCCACTTCCCCTTCCTTTAACCCACCCTTTCCGCCAACCCCCCCTCTTCCCCTTGTGCGCAGAATCAGCTGGGCCAGCAGCAGGGGAGAAGGGCACACTCGTGAGGAGCAGAGGCAGCCACTCACCTGCACTTATCTCACATCTCGCTCCCCTCACTGCTCGTCCTCTTCCTTTGTCCGTGCACCTATCACAACAGTCCAAGGGTCGTTCAACCTGTGGATATGGCACATGAACCAGCAAGGCATCCCATTCGCAAGCCCTGAGTTTTTGCGAGGCATTTCAGCCTCGTTCAGCCGCCCCGGGCACAGCGTGATCGTGCTCCTCCTCAAGCACATTGCCTTCTGGCTCTGCGGGGTGAGTTCATTTGTGCCATTCCGTATGCCCCGCTCCCGTCAACAGTCTGCTCACAAATGGTGCTTGTTTGCCTTTTAATTGCAGGTCGAGATGAAGATTCAAGGGGTCAGGCATGCAGCCGAGCAACAGAGACAACCGCGCCGCTGTTGAGAGGTATCACGTCAAGGTGCGGAATTGGGTTCGAGCTTGCATTGCAAGCAGGAACAACATAAGGGGGCCCTGGTGGGACCACGCCCAATACGCTTGGAAATTTGCGGGCGGGCAATCGACCGTATTCATTAGCAATGATGGGGTGGATGATTGATAGATTTCGTAATTGCCAGTATAGAATTTACAAGAGTAGTCTTTGTAGGATAGCAACAGTTGAAAGCTGATAGTGTTCTGTGAAATTAAAATGTCAGTAGGTAGTACTAATAAACGTATTTAATAATTTGCTGAGGATTTAATTACCAAATGTAAATGGCGTATCAAAATATAAAAATAAATTTAAAAAAATTGAACCAGAATTAATATACGAATACATTCGTCACAAACAGTGTATATGTAGCAGATTTTGTAACAAGGTAACATTGACATATTGATTTATTATAAATAAGTCCTGAAACGAATCGCAGGTTACATGTTACCGTCCCGTACATTTACCCAGCCTCACCAGTGCGGTATATCCATGCGTTCGTAAAATTCGAACAAGGTTTATTGGCCGAATCAATACTGGTTTTATCGGCACTTTACGACAGAATGATTGGTTCGCAACCTGAAAACACAAAGAATACGCGCAAGACACGTCAGAATCGAAGTGATGAAACACATTGATAGTTACGGGACATTAGCAAATACAAATTTGAGATGTTCGGCCGAGATCTTCCACACTAGATTGAACCAATCAGGACGATTTGGTACAAACACAAGCAGCGACTGCACGCTCGACGCGTGGTAGTCGAGTCACTCACCTTCATCAAAGCTGCTTTGGTGACATTCGAGATGTGCGGCGACGATTTGTCGCAGCAATTTTCGTGAGTCGAGCGTCAAACTCAAACCTACGGGAAGGTAGGTCTTCCATGCCCTTTGAAGCACCTGACAAAAGCGGTACGCCATTGCAGCTCTGATGCTGCTTTCACGTAAGTTTGGAAGACCCCATTTTTTCCGATGTTGCGTGTGAGAGCCAAGAGAGGGTGGCAGAGCGTGCAGGTGGGAGCGTGGGAGGGAGAGGCAGGAGCGAAAGTACCCGTGCGCGCTTGTGCCATAGGCACTTGCGCTTAGGCGCTTGCGCCGTGGGGGCGCGATTCGAGGGTGCTGGCACCGTGGGCGAGTGAGAGAGCGCGTGAGAGAGCGCGTGAGAGAGCGCGTGAGAGAGCGCGTGAGGGAGCGCGTGAAAGAGCGCGTGAGAGTGCGCGTGAGATTGCGCGTGAGAGTGCGCGTCAGAGAGCGCGTGAGTGAGCGCGTGAGGGAGCGCGTGAGAGAGCGCGTGAGAGAGCGCATGAGAGAGCGCGGGAGAGAGCGCGGGAGAGAGCGCGCGAGAGAGCGCGCGAGAGAACGCGCGAGAGAGCGCGCGAGAGTGCGCGCGAGAGAGCGCGTGAGAGTGCGCGTGAGAGAGCGTGTGAGAGCGCGTGAGAGTGCGCGTGAGAGAGCGCGTGAGTGAGCGCGTGAGGGAGCGCGTGAGAGAGCGCGTGAGAGAGCGCGGGAGAGAGCGCGCGAGAGTGCGCGCGAGAGTGCGCGTGAGAGAGCGCGTGAGTGAGCGCGTGAGTGAGCGCGTGAGAGAGCGCGTGAGAGAGCGCGTAAGAGAGCGCGCGAGAGAGCACGTGAGGGTGCGGGTGAGAGTGCGCGTGAGAGTGCGCGTGAGAGAGCGCGTAAGAGAGCGCGCGAGAGAGCACGTGAGGGTGCGGGTGAGAGTGCGCGTGAGAGTGCGCGTGAGAGAGCGCGTGAGAGAGCGCCCGAGAGAGCGCGCGAGAGAGCGCGTGAGAGAGCGCGCTAGTGAGTGCGTGAGAGTGCGCAGGAGAGTGCGCATGAGGGAGCGCGTGAGAGTGCGCGCGAGAGAGCGCGCGAGAGAGCGCAGAAGAGTGCGCGTGAGAGAGCACGTGAGAGTGCGCGCGAGAGAGCGCGTGAGAGTGCGCGTGAGAGAGCGCGTAAGAGAGCGCGCGAGAGAGCACGTGAGGGTGCGGGTGAGAGTGCGCGTGAGAGTGCGCGTGAGAGAGCGCGTGAGAGAGCGCCCGAGAGAGCGCGCGAGAGAGCGCGTGAGAGAGCGCGCTAGTGAGTGCGTGAGAGTGCGCAGGAGAGTGCGCATGAGGGAGCGCGTGAGAGTGCGCGCGAGAGAGCGCGCGAGAGAGCGCAGAAGAGTGCGCGTGAGAGAGCACGTGAGAGTGCGCGCGAGAGAGCGCGTGAGAGTGCGCGTGAGAGTGCGCGTAAGAGTGCGCGTGAGAGAGCGCGTGAGGGAGCGCGTGAGAGAGCGCGTGAGAGTGCGCGTGAGAGAGCGCGTGAGAGAGCGCATGAGGGTGCGCATGAGGGTGCGCGTGAGTGTGAGTGCGAGAGTAAGTGCGATGGAGACTGCGATGTTGAGCGCAAGTGTGATCGCGGGTGTGAGTGCGAGGGTGTGTGAGATGGTGTGTGCAAGGGCAAGTAGGAGAGTGAGTGCAAGTGTGAGTGCGAGGGCAATTGTGAGCGTGAGTGTGGGTGTGAGTGTGAGTTGAGTTTGAGGGTGCGGGCGACTTTGTGTGCGTGTTTTTGTGAAAGCGTTCGAGTGAGTTCGAGAGTGAGCGCAAGTGCGAATTTAAAGGTGAGTGCGAGGGTGTGTGTGTGTTTCTGTTAGTGTGTCTAAGAACGGCTGAAATTAATTATGTGACGTGAGTTGTTGCGAGAGTGAGTACGAGAGAGTGCGAGGGTGCGAGTGCGGTTTTGAATCTGATTGCAAAGGCGGGTGTGAGTGCGAGAGTGAGTGCGCGCATGCACTCGAGAGTGAGTGCGCGCATGCACTCGAGGGTGAGTGCAAGGGTGCGTGTAAGTGTGTGTATGGGGGTGAATGTGAGAGCAAGTGCGAGGATGAGTGCTTGGGTGAGCGCGAGGGTGAGAATGAGAACGAGAGCAAGCGTGAGAGCAAGTGCGAGAGTGAATGTGACTGCAAAAGCGATGGTTAGTGCGAGCGAGCGTGAGTGACAATGCTTATAAGTGCGAGGGTAAGTGCCAAAGTGAGCGTGTAGGTTCTTATGCGTGTTTATACAAGTGTGTCTAAGAAAGTTGGGAGTATTTGTGCGGGTGTGAGTGGGTGCGAGATTGAATACAATAGTGAGTGTGAATGTGAGTGTGAAGTTGAACACGAGGGAGGCTGCAATGGATCGCATCATGCTGGCGTAGTATCTGTGGTGCCACGACTGATACCAGTTTACCTTAGTAAGTTGTGAAAACCATTGTTCATATATTATTGATCCATGCGTTCTTAAACAGCCCTTCTATTGTGCTTGTTTCGTCTCTAGTGCATGTGTGAGCTGCATTCTCTGTTTTTGTTCTCTTGTAGCAATGCTGTGAGGTGTACTCTTGGTTTTTTCTTTCTTGTGCAGGGTATGTGTGTTGCATTCTCTGATTTTGCTTTGTGCAGGGCGCGGGAGCTGCAATCTTTAATTTTGATTGGCGGAGAAGGGAGATGAGGGAGGCAGTGGGAGGGAGATGAGAGGGGGAGGGAGGGAGGGAAAGAGGGAGGGAGGGAGGGAGGGAGGGAGGGAGGGAGGGAGGGAGGGAGGGAAGGTTGTAGGGAGGGTAAGGGGTAATTGGCTAGCGATGATTTATGAATAGCTGAATTTCATGATGGTTGCGTGTTTATTATTATCTGCATGTTTATGTGCTTGTTTGCGTGTGTGTCAGTGTGTGCGTTTGTGTCGGTGTGTACGTGTGCTTGTGAGCCTGTGTTTTGAGATATGTACAGTTGTTTGTGTCTGTCTCAAGGCGTGTGCTGAAGTGCCTCGTGTATGCAACTCAGGTTGTGATCGCCGGTGGGGCAATCGCCTTAGCGTGCCAGACCAATCTCTGTTGCATCATCGATGCATTGAGAAAGCTTGCTTTCTTGTTTTTATCATTTGGCATCGTTCTCATTGCAAATGGCATATTACAACATATCCATCGAGTTCTAACACAAGCTAGTACATGCAGAGAATACTAGCTAAAATGTACCGTGTCCAAACGGCCTTAGTAGGCAGTCGATGCTGGGGTGGGTGGTGGGAAAGTTGAGTGAGCCGTTGGAAATAGAGAAACGTGGGTGGAGGGAAATGAGCTCCAACCCACGGTTTTTGTAGTTGGAGAAGGGCGTTTAGCGCGCTTCGACGATGCCAAATGTGCAGTACAAGCAGCTTCGCTTTCACAATACACAATTTTAAAAACACAATGTGTGTTTAAAATTTATAATATTGAGAAAGCTTGCTTTCTTGTTTTTATCATTTGGCATCGTTCTCATTGCAAATGGGGCCTCTGAGACATGGGCAGCGGGGGTTTCCGGTTGCGTACGAGTGCCTCTGCGTGTTGCTCCGAGGACAATGCAAGTGTCGGGTTCTGCAGGATGCGCGATGCCTTGATGAGAGGTTCGACGTATGGCGTGACGTACATTTCCTTGGCTGTGTCACTTCGCCACCTGCCCAGTCTTTTGAAGATTCTGTCTGGTACACCGGTGTTGGCTGCCACTGTGGCCGCGCCTTTTCGGAAGGAATGAGTGCCGAGCTGCTGCTCTCCAAGCCCAACCTTTGCGAAGGCTTCCTTGCACCAGTTCCGGATCGTCGTGTATGAAGGTGGCCTGGCCTGGCCCACGCTGGTTGAGGCATGGCCGAAGACGCGGATCAACGACCCCTCCGAGTGCGGGCCGTAGCCAGCAAGTTGAATGAAGCGTCTGGTGCAGCGCACGGGGCAGCAAGGGTCTGCCGTTGCCGCAATGGGTATCCATGTTCCGTGACCGGCCTGATCCGTCTTGGAGTGTGGTATGAGGATCCACATGACATCGTCGTCGAATTGGATGTCTTGCCATTTGATAGCCACGAGGTCGGAGTATCGCAGAAATCCCGAGTACATGAGGATAGGGATCAGCCCTTTCTGGAATTCCGCCGGATTGTCAGACAGCAGGTAGCTCGCCGCCATGTCTCGAACTTGTTGGATCGATACGGGCTCCTTCAGACGAGTAG